TGTCTCAAGAGTCAGGCCAACAAACACGCGGCAACAGCTATCTCAACCGAACATGAAACGCGACATAACTCCAAGCGTAGCTGAAAAAACACTTCATGCAGCTCAAGAGGCTGTCCAAGAGTCGAACTGTAGCGTCCAACAGAACTGCTCAGAGAGTGCAAAATGGTGCCATCGCCCTGTGTCCGAACACCTGAAAAGCCTCCAGTCACCGCGATGACGAATGCCATCCGGCTCGTTTTGGCTCCAAGCCCCCGGAACACAGGACTGCAAATATTGATCTTCGAGGCATCACGGCAGCTGTCTCAAACGAGTACATTGGAGTAAGCACATGGTAACAACCAAGCCAATGACAGCACAGATGAACCGGCTGATCCGATGCAGAAAACCACAGCGGTCGTGAGTCTCGCATTTGCGAGGTGTGCAAGAACGCCTCAACACTGCCTCAATCCTAGCTATGTCAGTGTCACTGTCCTGAACCTGTCCCGAACTCGCAAGTTTCTACAGTTTTGCAGAGCGTCTGAGCCATTCCAGAGCCGAAGACAAAGATGTGGTCTCGGCCACCTATCGGGAATGGAGATGCTACACCACAGACGAAGAGGCACTGCGCGCCTGAAGCATTGAAGTACGGTAAAGCCACCACAAGCTCCTTGCAGCTCAGCTCCGAACGGGTGAAACGTTCAAGCAGACTTCCGAGTGCCTACACGACAAGTCTACCCGACGACATGCGATGCGAGAAGGCCTTGTAGAGCTCATCCACCTCGTCCAAGCTGTAAAGATTGCCTCCCGGTCCATGCATTCACTGGGTCAGCTTTCCGCAGAGAGGAAGACACGCACCAATGCGTGTTGGGACAAAGTCTGCGGACAGCCATTGGCACGACTCGGGTCGCGAGGAGCCCCGGCTTCTATCGGAACACGTGAAGCTTCTGTAAGTGGTTCTGAGATATAGCTCACCTTCCAGCACACAAATGGCATAGCCGGGAACGAAGAAGAAGTCCGCCTGGTGCAGTTGGGGATGCTCAACTCGAAAGAATATGTCAGTTTCGAATATCAGCAAACCTTGTGCAACCCTCATTCCCTGTGGAACTTCTAACACCGCTGAACGGCTTCATCACACAAGTCTTAGGACGTGAGCCGCCGAAGTGCCAGAACCACATGTATGTTGTTGCTATTCTCTGCGCATGCTCATTCGTCCTCTTGTAGAAGTATAACCATCACTATGAAGTTACGACCCCAGAAGGAAGGCCCGAAAAGAGGACTGATCCCACCTCCGCGGGGTCATCTGTTTGGATGTTGGACGTAACGAAAAAGTCGTGGAGCTGCACATCCGTGCCCCATTGTCCTTCCGAGCGCTGCGCGCTGCGTTCCGCAAGCTTGAGGTCGCGGTGGCGGCCGGAGATTACAAAACATGGCATGCGATCATTGTCAAGCTTAGAAAGGAATAAACAAGCTAAGTACACCATTGTCATTATGTTGCCGTATTCTCAGACCGTTGCCTACTACCGTCTTCTGGCAATGGCTTCATTTTTCTTTCACCAAATGTGGCTTGTCCCCACGCGCCGTCCCCGAGTGTTTCCCGCAGTGCAGCCGATACACGAGACAACCACAGCCTAACAGTGCCATCTTTGTCCCCGTAGTTTGTGTAACTGAAGTGCAAGATGCCGTACTCTACCATCCGCTACTTCAAACAGCCTAACTGAGAATCTTCAGCTTCACAGACCTCGGCTGCAGTAGATCTGGCTCTGCAGGACGGGCTTCAGCTGCGGCACTTGCTCCTCGGTGTCACGATGTTTCATGAGCTACGAGGGCCTCACGGACTCACGGAGAGTGGAAAGTAGCTCAAGGCAAAATTGCCCGAAGGCGTGTTGCGTATGGCCATCAAGGCAGCGAACTTATCAACAACTCCAAGAGCCCCCAGATCTCACATCCCCAAGCCTGAACCCTTGTAAACCCTGCATAATAACCCTTGTAGTAACCCTTACACTAAACTCTTCTACCCAAGCCTTCTGCAAGCCTTGCACTAACCCCTGTAGCAACCGTTACCCCAAACTCTAAATCCAAGCCCGGCTCTGACGTCTGAAGCTTTTTTGGGGGTTCGATTTTGGAGCTGTTTTAGAGGCTCCCTGAAGGGACCCTACTTTATAGTTGTGCCCTTTAAAGGGGGGTTTGGGGAGCCCTATAGTGCCCTTCAGAGGCCTCATCGTAGACGAAGACTTTGAAGGGCGGTGGCGAGGCCGCCGGATCTTCTCGAAGACTTCGCGCCTTGCAGGTGAAGCTCGGCATACGCAGTTTGAAATATGTGAGCAGATTGATAGATACACCTATATGCACACGTACATACATACATATACACATATGCAAACACGCATTATGCACGAAGAAGATCATGTCTGTCGGTCTGTCTGTCTGCTTGCCTGCCTGCCT